CAGGATAAGGTAGTATAAAAAAGTGATCAAAATAAAGAATTAGAAAACCTTTGAGAGGAAGAAAAGCTACTGGAACTCCTTATGAGGAAAGCAAAGATTGATAATGAAATGTCTTCCATGGGTTGAGTAAAACAAAGAAAACCTAGAAGAATTTTTTTAAACCCACAAACTCAGCAAATCTTTGCAAGACCAAATAGGTAACATGAGTGAAAAATTAGAGGCAACACACAATGAGCAAATTGAAATTCAGAATTTTAAGACTGAAGTTTCAGAAATAGATAACATATTGGAAAGACCACTGTACTTATAATTCATTCTGCTAAGATTAGTACAGAACAGTTATAAGTGTTAAGTCAATGTTGTTCCAAATGCTTGACCTCCTATGTAAGACCATGATATCCAACGTCAGTAGCCCTTCCTTGTTCATTTCCCTAGTTCCTCTGTGTCTCCTCAGTTTGGTGGTTCACTGGAAGGTTTCCTAGATACTCATACCCGTCAGGTCAGTTTTGCAGAGACTGGTGAACATTGTAGACTATCATTGAAGAGAGGTGTCCTATGGCATTGAGGTCCCATGAGCTTATATAAAAGGGTGGGAATTGTATCCCATCCTAATCATCTCTCTTTAATAAGTACTTCAGCACAAAATAAACAGTTAATCATTGGCTAGGAAAAAGATTTTTAATTCTAAAACTTAGACACCCAGAACTACAGAAATAGAATTGAAATAGTGGAACACAGATTTATTGGGATGGAAGACAAATTCCTCAACACTAATCTGGAAGACCTTCAACAAGATGAATTGAATAGTGACTGTAAAAATGGGCTTACGTATATCAGAGAGGATGAAGATGGCACATGATAGATAGGGCAAGGATCAGATCCATTATGCATAGGGTCCCTATGAGTCATAGTCTATTCGATGGCACCTAACAACTGTAATCTGCTAAAGGAACAATCAGAGAATAGGAAAGTTAATGAAGAAAGCATAAGAATTATGTAGGATGGCATCTAGAGGAATAACTTACATGTGAGAAAATTTCCCAAACATTATAAAAAAATGAGAAAAAATAATCATTAAAGAAGCTGAGCAAACCACAAACACAACAGACTCCAAAAAAAAATACCAAGACATATGATAATAAAATAAAATTCAATTTTCCAATATTAAAGAATACCATAAGCAGCTAGCTAAAAATGAAGAATTGTCTACAAAGGGGAACCTATAAGACTAAACTCTATCAGTAGAAACTACGCAGGCAAGAAGGTAGTGGCCAGACATATATAAAATTCTAAACGGGAAAAAAATTTGCCAACAAAGAATAACATAGCCATGGTGCAACCACTATGGAAGGTGGATTGGAGTTTTCTAAAAAAGTTGAAAATACAAATATCATTTGACCCAATAATTTCACTACTGAAAATAGACCTTAAAGAAACCATAACTACTATTCAAACAGATATATGCACACCCATGTTTATTATTCACAGTAGCAAAAAAGATGGAAATAACATTGACAAATGAATGGATAGAAAAACGATGATCTATTCATACAATGGAATACTATGCAGCACTGAAAAACAATGAACTTGTAAAACATTACACAACGTAGAGGACCCTGGAGTACATCATGCTGAGTGAACTATCTCAGTCACAGAAAGACAAATACACCACTGTTATAAAGCAAGTCTGATATATGGGGTTGGGAGGAATATAGGATAAGAGTGGATAGATATTGACCATTGCACTGGAACTGATGAAAGAAAGAACTGTCTAAAATAAATACATGATTAGGCATTGTACGTATGACAACAGCCCAGAACAAAAGATAAATATTTGCAAAGAGGAC